TCCGACACCACGAGGCTTGACGCGTCGAGCTGCAGCATCTGGAGCGTCTCGAGCTCTTTGGCCGACAGCGACGAGACGAGGTAGTCGTCGTCGGCGGCGCGGTCCGTCTTGGCGACGCGCTGGCCTCGGCGATAGAGACAACCAAGCAAGATGCCAGCAGCCAGAATGCCGAGCGCAATGTACAGAAAATGGTAGAGTTCTAGAGAATGATGTTGGTACTTGTCAATGAACGAGTGCAAACCTTTATACTCGATCGTCCAAGTGTACGATTTGTGGTTGACACACAGGACGTAGTCTGGTGCATTGTCCCAGAGCCGAGCTTGCGTCGTGTCGCTTCTTGTGCAGTCCGATGTAAACGGTGGCACTTGGAACGTCGCATTCGAGGTCGAGCTGCTGGTCGGCGAGAGGTTGCGCAGCGCACGCAGCGAGTCTTCGCTGTCCACCGAGAAGTAGTCAAATGAGCAGTTGTAGCATGCGCTACGTAGCTCCAATGAGCTTGCACGGAAGGCGGCGTGACATACAAACGCCGGAGTCGGAACGAGACGCGGAGACCATAGAGTGTACGAACGTTGTCGAGTTCTCTACGCGCACAATCATTGACAGAACCAGAGACAGTAGCGCACAGCGTCTCGATCTGCGGCAGCGTCAAGTAGCTGAAATTATCGCGTCCGCAGTCCAAAATGGTGCTACGAGTAGAGCGCAAGGTGACCCTCTCGCCGCCATGCAATGCGCGAATACAGGTTGCGAAGCGTGGACGGACAACTATCCCAGACGAACAAGTCGGGAGAGCGAGTGCTTCGGAGCTCCCTAAATGCACGCACCGCATGAGTGTGCCATCAAAGCTCGCGCGGGCAACAGGTGCTGAAGGGCCCGGAAACCGTATAAGGAAATGGCGCGCTTGAAATGACACGAGGTCAGGGTCCTACGGTAAACTAGGCGTAAGCAGCCATCGTCGCGCTAGGACTAACAAGCGTAAAACCTCCGGCGGGACATCGATATCGTCCAGGTCCTCGAAGTTGGCGCCGACAAGTGATCTAGCTCAACACATGGAGCATGAGCCATGGAGGCACTGGATGGCTGCTAGTACAGAGCCGCGAGCTGTACGGGGAACTGGTGGTTGATGTGGCTCTTCGTGAGGTTGACGAGCTCTCTATCTCGGATGCTATGCATGAGCTTCCATTCTCAACAAATAAGAATACTGTCATACAGGGTAGCATGCCGGTATAGGAAGACGTCGCCAAGGACGTCGCTTGCCTCCAGCTGCACGCGCGTCGACGCATTTGCCACGCGACGAACGACCGAGCAGTTGCTGTTGACAAAGCACATGGCGTTGCCTCCGCACGAGCCGTCCGCCACGAGCGCGGTCTCATGCAGCGCCAGGTCGCTGTACTTGCAGCTTGCCATTGGGGTGTGTTGGACAGTCCTGTCTGCTCCAGCCGGCACTGCATATTCTCGAATAACTCTCAATATGAATATTATTATTGCATTCGTCTCAAAGTCGTTTAGGAGTACTGGAATACGGAAATAGGATATCTAGTACAAACTGTCGGTTAGAAACCACATAAGGTGTATGAGACGAGTATGATAAATCATAAATGCGATTGACCAATCAACAAACGGTGTGGACACGGTTGCCGTTTGTGATTGGCGCGCGCCATGGGACACGCGACATTGCTATGGCCTCGTGCAAGTACGGGGACGTTGGCGTCGATGTCGTGCTTACGGCCGACGGCTCGTGCGCCGATGGTACCGTCATCTGCGTCGTCGATAGCAACTGCGCGGTGCGTCATGAGGTGGCAGCTAACTCGACACGCTTTGAGCTGCGGTCGGGCTGGCGCCTCGGCGATTTCTCGCGCTACCCCCACCCGCACCTGTGCGCCCTCTCATCTCGTCAATCGATGGCACTCAAGACTACGTAGAGAGCTTGTCGACTTGGATATTGACTCGTCGCTGCACCGGTACCAGCAGATGCCGTCGGGGCTTCAAGGACTGTACGCTACGATTTGCCTCTGGCATTGTGTAGATGCTACTATGACTTTAGGGCTTTTACGAGCAGCATCCTGGCGTCCGAGACAACGACGACTGCGCTGAGTGGCCTCGCGCTGCCCCGAGGACTCCGACACCTGTGAGTGTGGCCTCTGTGTTCTTGGTTGACGTCAACCTAGGTCGTTTGAGGGCTGTTATCTGGGCGCGAGCGTGAACTTAAACCGCTTCCGGCGCCTCGAAGAACTGTGCGCTTGACGTCCATCGCTCATTGTTAAATGGGTCGAGTAGGTCCTTTCGCAACACTACGATGTTCGAGTGGCCTTGGTTTGTACCTTCGACGCTTCGCCACCTGTAGCGCTGACCTCCGCGTCAATCCCACGGTCACCACTGCCTCTAGGTCGGCTTTCAACAGCACTTTTCACAAGCTCAACGATCTTGGCAAGCTATCGGCGCTTGAGACGGTGTATGTCTATCCCTTATTCTCTACTTTCTCTATGACTTTGGATTCACAAAGTTTCTTCCCAGCGAGCTCAGCGGGATCACGCAGCTCTTCAATTTCAACGCGACGCCGCACACGCTGCGCTACTTGTACTAAGAGCGTTTGTCTTTTGAAGGACTTGAATGTCTCATGGTGGTGTAGTTCGTGCAAAGACTGCGATCTGACAGTCTTTTCGATGCAACCGCCGGCGTTGGTCGCCTTGCGCGCGTTGGCGCCAGCATCCAATGACAGTGCTGGGTACCGCGTCCGTAGTCTGCATCAAAATATCGACTACTGCCGCGTCTTTCACGGTACCATTCACACGCTCTGGCCGCCTTCCAACTACACCATTTGCGTCCTGCCGGTCGACACGGACGTCATGAGTGCGTTTCCTCGATGCTA